ATCTGTCCATCAGACAGAGGGCTGCTGTGCCTCCTGTCATCATTAATGGACGTCTCTTTAAAGTGACCGCTCAGAGGAGAGGATTTCTCAACGCCTGCTGCTTCCCCTCCTCTCTCCTCGGTTCCCCTCCTCGACTCCTCCGCTCGCATCTCCTGTGGGCGGGACTAAGACACGAGGATAGGAGTCGAGGAGGGGAGTCGAGGAGGGGAAATTAGAGAATTGAGAAGCCTTCCATGTATGGATGCACACAAAGTGACAGCTGGAAGAAGAAGTATATTATGGAATATTAAATAACACAAAAAAGGGCTTGGTGTACTTGAATGAAAATTGCTTCTGAACTGTACTCTAAAACTCTAAAATATTAATAAATGTGGTTCTTAGGAAGCTTTCAACCCATTAACAAAAAAGTGGTGACTTTTAACAGTCCTGAATTACATCGCAGTGTTTCCCCTATATACAAATAGTGGCGGCGCAGCTGCTAGGGGGCGCCGCTGCTAGGGGGCGCCAGCAAGGTACCAAAAAATTAAAATTAAAAAATAAAAAATTTTAAAACTTTTTTTTCTTTCCTTAAAATAATAATAAGTGGCGACCCTTTTTCATTTTTGATTGTTTGTAAGAAAAAAAAGTTTTAAAATTTTTTATTTTTTAATTTTAATTTTTTGGTNTAGGTACCTGTCAGCCAATAAGACAGATATTTATTTCCATTCAACTCTCTGGTTGGTCTGGTGTCTTGCCTCTGTTGCATTCACTGAACACGGGAAATTACAATCCTGCCATCCTCTCTAGTGTCATGATGAGGTTCAGGTAAAGCTCTGTTAATGTATTATATTATTGACTCAATAATATAATACATTGCTTTGAGAGTAGGCAATCTAGGCATATTAACAAAATTAATTAAACATACTTATCACGGCGACGGTGTACTGAGATTATTATTATTTTTTCTTTTCTTTTTTTGTGCTAGGGGGCCCTTAGTGGCTGCGGGGCCCTAAGCGGCCGCTTATGTCGCTTAATGGGTCGGGCCGGCTCTGACCGCTGGTATTAA